GCTAAGAAAAGGAAATAGTATTTAAAAGATTAGTGTTTACAGAAATCCCAGGGAAGAGGCTAAGTTCTAACCCTTATAGTCCTTTGATTATTAATGTTTACTTTTAAAATGCATATAAGTGTATAACTTTTACCAGCAACAAGCCCACCATGAAACTGCACAAATCAGTTTATATACATTGGGTCTATTTTATCTGTCCTGTGCTTTGAATGTTTCCACATTCCCACAGCTTTCAATAAAAGTTGTTGCTTTTCCTTTCCTAATTAGGTAGGATTTTGCTGGTTGAGCTAGCATCTTGGAAACATGCTTAATTGTTGCATTACTGATTAATAATGATGATTCATTTTGATAACTAAATACATCACATTTAAAACTTCGCCCATGCTGTGCTCTCATACTACCTTTCATGTCCAGCAATATAACAGGTAGACTATTCCAAATATAAGTATCTCATTTCTAATAATGAGAGCCAATGTGGTGCCATGGTAAAGAGCATGGGACTGGGACTCAGGCGACCTGGGTTCTAGTCCCTGCTCAGCCATGGAGCCAACTGGGTGACTTTGGGCCAGTCACAGCCTCTCAGCCCAACCTACCTCACAGGGTTGTTGTTGTGGGGATAAGATGGAGGAGGAGAATGATATAAGCTGCCTTGAGCCCTTTGTAGGAAAAAGGCAGGATATAAATAAATAAATAAATAAAAAATAAAAATAATGCACACAATGTAAAAATAAGCTTTATATCTGGGAGGAGATTTTCTAAATGTTGACAAGCAACAATTCTCTACGTATATTGGGTATCTGCCTGTGTTCCTTTGGCTGTGACCCTTCCTTTACTGGAAGCAGACCTACATTCCATTCCATTCATACATCATGGTCACAGGTCAGGAAAATTGATAAACAAATAAAAATAGCAATCACAGTCAACACAAGTACAGTTTTTACAATATCTTCACACAAGAAGATTTTTCATAATTTGCATAGCACTCATAAAAATTTGGCAATGATTTCATTAGCATAAGAGAATACATTTCTTAAACAAATTAATACCAAAGTGGAATAATTATTACAATAAAGGTCTATTATTAATGGTATAATCAATTCCATTAATTACAGGGAATTCCCTATAATTCTATGAATTCCCTATAATAGCTGCAATATAAGAGAATGTATTCTACTGTTTCTGCTGCTGCAGCACCATGAAAACATACCTGTTCATTGACTGGAATCATGCTAAACTATCCATTTTAATAATGTTGATGGTAGCACATTAAAGAGGGCAAGAATATATATTCTTCTATACTTCGGAATAACTAATGTGTACAGACATGGGGCTGCAATAATTCCAGCATTTTAGCCTATCCTATAGAGCTTCTCCATCTCTCACTTCCAGTGGGTAACATAATTATCTGTACACAGTAGAGAAGGGCAGCTACCAGGAGCTGCTGGAAAATGCCAACATAGCCACCATTTAAAGGCTCCAGTCCATGCCTTGCACTCCACAGATCAAACCTCCACTTCCACATAGGTGGCTGCATTCTGCACACAGACCAGGGGGAGGGGGGCAGAGCTTCCTAAGAAAAATAGGCGAAATGTTTTTTTCCATTTGGGAACAAAATCCCAAATGGGGATGCCATAACAAAGGAGGGCCAAGGCCTTGGCTTTGAAAATTTATATTGCAGAAGCAATACAAGGGCCACCTGGGGTATAGAAGAATCTCCTGATTCTTTCTGCCAGATCTCCTGCTGGCTGAATTTGCTGATTCAACTGCCTGTCTATGCTGTTCGGACCAGAGCCCGCTACTCTGCACAGACCACAGCCCGGTACATTTGAACTCCTGGATATTGTATATGCAAAACTTGCTTAATTGTATCGCCATTTAAAGTGCATTCAAAATGATTCTAGCTTTAGAGAATGCTAGGACTTTGGACATTATAGTTAACAGTCAGGCTATTTTCAGAGCAATAGATTGCAGCAAATGCAGCTAGTAAATGATTTAACCCAGCTCAGGAAAGTGACAGCAGTTCAGCATCACCAGCATACAAAAGTATAGAAATCCTAGTGTTGCACAGTCTGGGAGCATGAGAATCTAGGTTACAAAAATGGAAAGCTAAACCATTTAGAAACAGATTAAAAGGGAAGGGGCCAAAAGCAACTCTGTCTGACTCCCCTTGTAAAAGGGATTGAGTTAGAAGCTTGTCCCTGCAGACCACATCTGATGCAACTAGAAGTCTGCTTGGACAAACTTCTAATAAGGAATGGTAGGTGCTTGTCCATTTTATGTAGTTTCGACCCTAAGGGTTTCCCCAGGACCTGATCAAAAGTCAATTTAAGGTCTGTAAAGGCAGTAAATAGTTTCCCACCAGAAACTGAAGTATGCTTCTCTGCCAAATGACCCCACACTCAGCAGTAGTCTAAGGCTGAAGCTAAGTCTAAGCTTTAAGCCCAATCTGTTCCTCACCTATTCTACAATTCAGTTCAGACAAACTGCCCTTAAAAGGCAATTCTTTATAGAAGAGAACTTCAAATAGACAGTGCTTTCATTTTGTTTTGGTACCTTCTAAGATGCCGAAAGAACATCCAGGTCAAAAGAAAAGGAGAGGAGTCCCAAATAAATCTTCAGGAGTCCCAGATAAATGCTGCTGCTCATGCCTCCATCCGAAAAGGCAATGCCTATTATAAAACTTAAATACCTTGCAGGAAGTTTCTCAATAACCAAAATAAATCTCTTAGGGCAGGAATAGTTCTCTCACCATTTTTTGACAATGGAAAATCTGCTTGGTTTAGCCCAGATATCTGGCATCCTTCCAGGGTTATTGATATAAACAAAGAAGGCCGGCAATGGAAGAATCCACCAGTCTGGATTCAATTTGGGTCAGTGTCTGGTGGAACAGAGTCTGGGCCAGGAGCTTTGCCAGGAATAAGTCTGTCAATCAAATCTATAATCTCACTAGGAAGAAATTCACTGGACTGCCATTCTGGAACCTCAGAGGTCAGACAAGACCTGTGCAAGGAAAGAGTCTTAGAATCATGAAGTATTGCAGAAAAAAGTTTATCCTTCTTTTAGTTAGATATACAACAAGCAGGATATTCTTGCAGCTCTGACAAGGATCCCATTACAAGTTGCCAAATAACATACTGTCCTTTTGTATAAAACATATTAATAAATTTCATTTCTCTCTCTCTCTCTCTCTCTCTCTCTCTCTCTCTCTCTCTCTCTCTCTCCTTTTGATTAATCAGAACCTTATACTCTCCTTTCACTTTATATCTCTGGTAAACATGTGCTTCCCTTCTCTCAATACGCAGGATAAACCTGCCTGCTCTTATGCTTGAGCAATCTACACTTGTTGTCAAACCAGCTTTTGTTTCTGTGCCAGGGATCAAGCTGTCACAAGAGCCCTCTGTATACTAAAGATTGATATCTCATAATCTTTATGAGATGGCAGAGTTTGAGGTGGCTGGATGAGATCACTGAGGAGGAAGGTGTGGTTTTAGGTGCACTCCAGAGGATGATGGAGGACAGGAGAACCTGGAGGAATGCTGTCCATGGGATCGCAAAGAGTCAGACACAATTTTGTGATTGAACAACAACTTCCATTTAAGATAGTTTTATTCTGTTGGCATGACTAATGAGCTTAACACACACAAGCAAAGTTTTGATTGAATCTGTTAGAATGTCTAGGATGTGGACATTGTCCTACAGAATCATAAAAGAGCAGAGCTGGAAGGGACATATAAGGATCTGGGTTTTGATAACATAAGCTCATTATTTCATGTGCTGCACTCTGGTAGGGATCCAGGCCGTCTTCTGTGTGACAGCCTTTCAGGTAGTTGAAAAGCGCTATCTATTCCATTCAGTAATCATGGTCACAAAGGAAAATTAATAAATAAAAATAACAATAGTAGAATAAAAACAGAAGTAAAATAAGCACGGGAGGAAAATACTTTGGAGGAGGCAGGACATGGCCCCTTTGGCTGCTGGACCAGTAAACAAGCTGATCACGAAAGCCACTTTTACCCAACCAGCTGGAAAATTCTTCTGATCAGAGCTACATGTACAATTGGCAGAGTGCCAGAAAAGTAGCAGACTCATCTGGATTCCCATCACCTTTTTCTGAGGGGTGCCACTGGACACTTACATTTTAGAACAAGAGCTGGAGAAGGCAGTCAAGTCTGCAGAGGGTTTCTTTGAGACTCAGGATAGCTACAGCACTGGCATATCACTGAGGACCTGGTGTTCGTGTAATACAGCCTCCATTGTGCCAGTGAAGGAGGGCTGGTGCACAGAATAGCAGTGGCAAAGAAGCAGTCCTGCTCTGTGCCCCCAAATGCCCGGTCCTCATACTACCCTTCCTAAAAAAAGTCAATTTGTCCAAATGTCAAGGCCATCAGGTTTGTAAACCCAGAGTTTAAGTCAGGTAGGTGTTTCCAAAGGAATGTCCAGGATACAGGCCAAAAGTTTGAAATGAAGCCTGAATTCCCTGGACCATAAATGAGTGGTCAACCAGCCTCTCCTTCTTCTTAGCTTGTCCAGGTCAGCAACCTTGCTTTGAAGAAATGCACTTCTTCCCTGGAAGCCAGGAACTCATTACCAGAAGCACACGCAACAGTCAACAGATAGGCTCTGACCAAACCATTTGATTTACAATACATGAAAACAAGAGCTGTTTTCCTGGACTTTTTCATCGAAAGATTAGAGATTCTCTCACCAAGCTCCATTTCTGTTATAAGATCATATCCGACAGACAACACACCTGGTGAATTAATTATTCTTGCCCATTAGCTGCATTAAACAGCTGTATGGTATCTTTGTGTATGTGTGTGACCTAGACAATTCACAAAACGTTTGGGTCCCTGGCTACTGGCTCCTACTATCACTGGGATCACATTTCCAGTTGGTGTACTGCTTTCCTCTCTCCTGCTATACACCAAGACCCTTGAGAATTATGTAACTCAAGAGAACACTGCACATAGGGATGCATGAACCTGACTGTGCCCTCAAAAGAGAGGTGGAGTTCAAGTGCAGAAGTGTCCTTCCTCTGATTTTGAGAAGGGCCTGTTTGCTTTGCATAGTGCTTCTTGGGCTCTTGCACACCTAACAAGGGTTGGCAATGGTACACCTGTGGCTGGAGATCGCCTGAAGCATCATCTAGTCTAGCTTCAGTGTTTTTCCACACTTCAATGAGATTATAGCTACAACTGATCTCTGCTGGATTCCAGTAAGGTACCCCACTTCTCCCTACCGCTTGGGTGCTGGAGCACATGCTATTGTCTCGGAATGAAAGAAAAGACTGGTGCAGGACCTGTGTGTGGGAACAGCACTCTGGGGCTGATATTGCTGGACCAAAGGCATCTGGGTCTTGCCATGATGCTAGAGGGAGAGAGGGCAGCCAGTGTCTCAGGTTACAGCCTCCTGAGAGATTCCTCATGCTCAGAAGAGAAGGCAGAGGAGCAGAGGTGGGCAGGTGACTTCTGCAATGTCCAGGTCACCAAATGAAGACACTCTGTCGGGGCATGAGAACCAGCCCACACTGGAAAAGGAGGAAGAGATTTCTGAAGTGGGTGAGGGAGGAGATTGAGAGGGAGCTCCTTGCCCTGTGAGGTGCCAAGAGGCAAACAGGAGGCCCAGCTAAAGTGTTCCCGATGTTCCTGCTGCCTAGTTCTCAAGTGGCAGGAGTCACCCTGAGGGTGAAGTCAGATTCTTTCTGAAGTGGTGGGGGAAGGAGGGGAGGTTTCAGTTAGGATTCATTTCTTTGCATAAGCAGAAGCTTCCCCCACATCTTAAGATCAATGCTTCTTTGGTTTCTGTTGTTTTGTGACCTGTAAACCTCTAACTGAGGGCTGTGTTTCTTTCCAAGGTTTCATCAAAATATTCTGGAGAGAGAAAATGGACAAGAGGGGAAATCCTTCTCATGACAACTGTGGGGAGTTCATCTTTACATTCTTATAGGTATTATTTCGGAAGTGAGATGAGTCGTGCCGATACCAATACAAATTATCAGTTGGTATCTGAATCACTGGGAAAGGAATTGGCAATATTGTAGTACTGAGCACAACTGTTCAAGAAATGTTTTATTTCAGGCATTCTATGATGAAACATGCCTCCATGGGAATATTTGGTTGTTGATAAGCCAAAAAGGTTTGCAAATCTTCCAACTGGCTTATTGTGGCTGTCAAGGAACAAGAAGGAAAGAGCTGTTTCTTTTCTGTTTCCTGAAACTTCCACTGCTCTGAGCTGAGGATAATTATCTTGTGATCAATGCTTCCTTTTTACAAAGAGGTAAGGTAAATAAATTCAGTCAACAAATGTGTATGCTATGTTGTATTCTTCTTTCTGCATTCTACATGGAGAGCTAGGAATGGCCAAAGCAGGAGGAGGTCATGATTGGAACAATAGAAAGGACAATAGAAAGTTATGGTGGGGCAATCCCCCACCCCTCAACAAACATTCAGACACATTAATTTATACCCTAATAGAATCTGGGATAGCAGTATATGGCTAAGAGAAAATGTTAGCCCTGTATGCTGCTGCTGTGAGAAGTCCTAATTCTACATGGGGCATAATCTGAAAAGGCTGGAGAATCTGCCAATACCATACTGCCCTTCTGATGTAACCACACTTGGAATACTGTGTGCAATTTCAGGCAACAGATTTCAATAGAGATGAAATCTGTTCAATGAAAAAGCAAACAAACCCACTGGTTTCACACCAGAGTTAAGGCTATTTCATATTGACTCAAGATGACCAAGACCAGAAAATGGTGAGCCAAGACTGACCCCTTATAGGCTTGGTCTATGATCAGTGGTGGTGTTGTATAATGTCACAAATTCTGCTTCTGTAGAACTTTCCCATGGTTTCCAAGCACAAATCCAGTTGGGAAGGATAGATGGTATACCTGTGACCACCAAGTTTTTCCAAAGTGTTCTGGTTTTGTACTGCTTAATGTTACCTACAAGGTTTAGCATATTGCTAAAATTTCCATCCACACTTCCATGTTTCTGATCACTATTAATGGGTATGAATAAGAATGAGAAGCAGTATCAGCAAAGCAATGGAGTTTAAATGTTTTCAGGACTAACTGCTGAGTTCCAAAGGCTGTATTTCTGTGTGCCTGAAAATCTCATGATCTCTATTAGTCTTTTGTGTACCTTTGTTGATTACCTCTACCTCTCAAACACAGTCTTTTCCACTTGTGCTCTTAAGGTCACTTAATTTTCTGTACAATGCAATTTATTAATGAAGCAGGAGAACATGAGCTTAAATAGAAACTCTTCTTTTTCTGTATCAATTCCCTAGCCACTTTATACTCATGGTCTTAATGTAACTGGTCGCAATCTATTTTTTTTCTGAAAGAAAAACTGTCTTCAAAGGGAGGCATTTATTTATGTTGTTGTTGTTAGCATTAATACTATTAATGAAATATGTAAAGCAGTGAATTCTGTTCCAAAGGCAGGTTTTTGGTGTGACTCTGAAGCTCTTCTGCTGCTTCTTCTTACTACTGTTTTAGTGTAGCTGAGCAGATTTCTCCTGCTCACTGTTTTGTACTCATGATCATAACATCCCTTGAGTTTCTCAGCAATGGGAATGGAACAGGATACTCTGGAGCCAAAGCAATGCCTTCTGTTGCTT